TGGGCTATACTTCAGGACCACTCAGAAAAGATGATTTTTTTTGCTCAACATTGTAACCATCACACTACCTTCCAAAAGTTATCCAAATTACATCTTTCGTTCAGGGAATATTACAATGTACGTCTTTTGAAGAAAAAAAAAGCGATCATACATAAACTCTTCATGCAAAGCAATTTCCCCCATGATGTTTTTTAGCACGATTTGACCTGAAACAACATCCTTTGACCTAACAGGTCAAGTCTTTTATTAACCAATCAAAATGCTATGTCGTACTGACAAAATTTAAGTTAAGTCTCAGAATAAAGGAGTGGGGTTATACTCTGGGAGGAGCTTATGATCGGGGAAGTACAGTATATACATACATTCACTACCCGCCAAAGTATCACAATGATTTTGAATTGATTTACTTTCTACCCTGACTGATGAACAGTTGGTAACAGGGAATAAGCTCTCAATCTGAACACTAACAAAGTAGGCTTGTACAAGGGTCTTCTGAGAATCTGTCACTTTTAATTCTTGTCACAGTTCCAATAACACATATACATTGTAATATTCATTTAATTTATGCATAATCAAAATATGTCAACAATATAAGGGCTTGACTATTACAAACTCAAGGGAAAGAGTTTCAATAAAAAAAAAATTGCACAGGGGAAAAAAAAAAATCATGGACGAAAAATTTTGCCGGGATCAGTGACAGAAAGGAATCTGCTCTCCAAAATCTTAGTGGAAAAGTATTTCACAGAATGAGAGGGAAAAATTGCACTAAAATCATCATGAAAAAGAAAATTAGTCTGAAACCAAGTTAAAAAAAATATTTTACACAGTTTGCACAAATGCCTTTTCCAGAATTTCTAATGGTCGACCCACAAAACTAAATATTTATTACAAAGAACAGAATACAATGTAAAACAGATTTTGTACAACATTGGTAAAAAACAAATTTTTAATGATTTATTGATAATTACTTTGTTACTTACAGTAAATAATATACAAGTAACAATATTGAACTATATAAACTGTTCTAAACGCATCATTCTATTTGTTTTAGGCTTTACATGTCAATGCCATTCACTTGCTGTATTGTTTGATTTCATAAAATTATAATGTCATGATGAGTGTAACTGACTAAATGGCGAAATAAACACTATAAATGAAGCACACTAACTACATTTGCATATACGCTATGCATGTAATGTAGAAAATACGATCAAGTAGTTAGTAATTAGTAATTTAGAAATAAGACATGATGTGATTGTTGACTGAAAAGTCAAAACCTAGTGGTGTGTTTTTTGATTAATTAATTTCTCTTGTATATAGTGGGCACTGGTCTTGACAACTCATCCATAATAGTAAAATTACATTTAATTTTATTTTAAATTTTATAATTTGTGTGATTGTTAATGTATTTGTATTTAATTTATATATGTCTTCAGAACTCGTGCTGAGTCACAGAGAATCCATGAAGAGAAACAGGCCAAGGCTCAACAGCTACGAGAGAAATTGCAAGAAGAAAAAGCGCATAAATTGCGAATGCTTAATGAAAGGGTAAATATGGAAATTGTGGTCTCTGTGTCACCATAGTGTGTTTATCCACAAAAACTTGAATGTCTGTCGATAATCAAAAATAAAATACTGTAGGTAATAAAATAGGTTTTGTTTACATTAAATAGAATAGAATAGAATAGAATAGAATACTCTATTATCATATGTTTGATATAACCCTTTTTTGGGTTTTCATACTGGGAAAAAATGAAATCCAGTGACAATACGTAAACTAATATTCATGAGCAATGAACAACTTGTCTATTCAGTAAAACTTCCAAAATGCTTTCCGATATCTAGCAAGCCATTTCTAAATTGACAGATTCTATTATTACGAGCTGAAAAAGACTCTAAAAGACACACTTTGATCAGTCAAGCAAACTGTTAAAAGTAACTAGTAGGTTTTTTTCTTTACCCTGATCATATCAAGTTGCAAAATTCATGGAGAATGCAGAAGAACATTGATATTCCACTTTAGTACTATTCCTCAAAATTTCACATAATGTTTTCAATAACTCTTATAAGTGACAATTTACCTAATTAGTATGCATTTTGAGAAATCACTGTGTGTTTGTGTGAGAAACAATTTTGAACACAATAAAATCGCGCATAGAACTCACTCCTGCAAGAAACTAGTAGCACCAAACTGGTTTGTTGGTTGAATTTTGCAATGGGCAATTTTAGGGACTGTATATTTCTAAGTTTCGTTGAGAATTATTCCGTAAAGAAATCGTTGAAATATATTTTATCTATTTGTGAAAGGGACGTTGCTTTGACAATGGCCTATGGATGACTGACTTTGAAACTTTCCATCCAAATTGGATAGCGCCCTCTCGTGCCAATTCCAACCAAAATAAGATAATTGACAATATTTTGTTTAACAACTAGATAAATGAAGTGAGAGCCTGGAAGAATGTAATTCATCAACAACAAAAGAAGGAAATGGAAGACAAACTTCACAAAGCAGAAGAGAAAAGAACATTACAGTTACAGGCTGTCATAAAAAAAGCACAGGAAGAAGAGGCAAAAGTATTAAGACACTGTTACAAGTTTTGATCAAATTTGCTATATATTGGTGCTGAACACCTGCTGGCTGATGATCATAACCTCTAATGCCATTGCTCTTTCACTGACAGTTGGGAATTTTCATTTCCTAGATATGTTTTTATAAAACAATAATTCCATATTTACATTGAGATTTGCAGAGTTTTACTAATAATGTGTGTTTTTTCATATATAAAGGTGAATGAGATTGCATTCATCAATACACTTGAAGCTCAAAACAAACGTCATGAAATATTAACACGATACGAACTGAATGAAGCCAGGCTGCAAGATATAGTGGAGGAAAGACAAAGAAGACAGGAGGAGAAAGCTGCAAAAGAAGAGGCTGCACAGGTAATTGCAATACACGAATGAATATAATGTAAAATTTTGTAACCATCTCTCCATCACTGTTTGACTCGTGTCATATATTCTTTCAGACATCATGAGTTTCTATACGAAAGATAACAATTCATTATACTAGTATGTAAATGAGGTAGACTCCATCACTTATATTGACAGTATCGCTCTTAACATGGTGCAGTGCTTTGTGTTAAACCCATATTATGATATGATCACGATCTGCAGGACCTAGGACAAAAGGCAGTCATAATATCACTTCCTCAGTATCGGTAATCGGTATGTCACTACCCGGGCCCTCCGCCTATCAGTGTGTCTCTATCCCCTCACCCAGTGTCATTGTGTCACTAGCCCTGGTAATCAGTGTGTCACTACCCCCAATACTCAGCCAACACCTGACAAAAGAAGCAGACATAATGTATTATGTGTTTACTGGGAGACTCAATTAACGTGGAACCTTTACAGCGATAAAATATTATAACAGTAACTGTGTTTTGTCTCTTGTAGGAAAGAAGGCGTGCCTTAGAAGAGGAAAGATTGGCTAAATTGGAAGCCATGCAAAGACATAGAAAAGACCAAGAATCTAAGATAACTGAAATAAAATCGCAACGAGATATGGCAAGGGAAGAAACTGCTAAATCCAAAGCCAGGTATTTGGAAATATGTTTGCTATATTAGAAACACATCTTCTATTGAAGATCAAATAAACCAAAAATGTATTACATGTATATTCATTATTATAGACAATATTCTCACATCTCATTTTATATGTGAGCACATGCACTACTAGTAGAGATAATGTGGTAATAGTATATGTGATAACTACCATTGTGACAAACTTTGTTTTGTTTTGCAGAGAGAGAGAAATACGTCTTGCTGCATTGGATGCTGCACAGAAAGCCAAAGAGGAGGAAATTCAGAAGAAAATACAACAGAAGGTTTGTGCAAAAATAACGAACAAATCCTGTCTTGGAAGCAACTGTGTGCCACCATGTATAATACTGTGACTAGTATTATTGTCATGTTCACTTTAACTGACCGATATTAGTAATTACCCGTAAAATCTGTATTAGAAGCCGCATCCTTTATAGAAGCCGCACACATTTTTTTTGAACAATTGAGAACCAAAAATTCACCATTTCTCATATGTGTAGATGCTCTAATAGATGCACACCCTCTGTTGTATTGTACCATTTCAATAGAAGCCGCAGCTTTTAATACAGATTTTACAGTAATTATTAAATAAAAGTTCAGAATTCACGAATAAATTCAAACTTCATTACGCTGACCAGAACTCAGAACAAGGTTCTTACCTTCAAACTATGGTTGAAAACAACATAATGTTTGTGTGTTTTTAATTTCACAATTTTCAATTTTGTTTGAATATTCAATGGTTCTACAGTAATTACATGTACCATATTCACTCGATTACAATCGCATCTCTACTAGAAGTGCACTCAAATGAAACAATATTTTTTTGTCTGCCAGATCATTGAAACACCTTTATTATTTGCATATATTTGCATATTATTTCTGCATAAGCGCATATGCTACTAATTGAGCAAATGCTAACAGTTTAAATTCTTGCAGTCAAAACATAGCTTCTTTGCATAAATTACATTTAATCCATTGTATAAATTAATTCATTTAAAATTTTTTTATCAAGATCTGCAGGAACAAAAAAATTATTAACATTTGGTTTGTAATTAATTACTGGGATAACCAAAATACCTAAAAATGTGAAAAATATTGCGTCATATAATTTTTGGTGTGACAAAATATGATGTTCAATGGGTAAAAAAAAATCCATGCATTCATCGATTTTGTTATTTTTATGTTCATTTGCATAGCATGACCAAAGCACTAAGAGACACACAAAACTGATAGAAGAGAGACGAGAGAAAGCAATGGAGCTCAGTACACTTCGTAATTTCGCAACTACTGATATTGTACCACAGCAGACACCCTACGAGAAAAAGAAATTTTGTTCTGTTTGTAGCGTATTGGTAAGTGATGACAACTTTTATCATGGGTAGATTAGAAATAAGGGTAATGTAACTTTACTAAGCATGCAATGAAAGATCACATGATTTTGATGGGATAGGACAGATGGTCACAAGTATTATGTAATATTAACGGCAAGATCAAGCTCAAACTTCACACATATCAGGCATTTTTATGTCACAATAAAATCCAGAATAGTTTCACTGGAAACAAATGCAGTTCACAGAGCCATATCTCATACAGGTCTGGACCAATCAAGTTTAAACTTCACACATACATCACACATCAGGTCATTCTGGAAATGGATTTCAGTTCAATTCAAATCAGTCTCTACAAATGAACATCATGGACCTGTATAGACTTGAAGGCATACATTGTTTCATATCCTCTGACTGGCCGACATATTGCTGTTCAATAGCTGTAATTCTGACATGTCTTTTCTGTGCACATTATGTTATGTCATTGTCACTAAGAACGGCATGTCATTTACAATGACTTCTTATTATTTTTATTATGTTAATTGGTTCTGGCTGTAAATCAAAAACTTTTGACCTTGATTTTGTTCATGGTGATCTACATTTGACTGTCTCATACAATAACCATAATTATGAATTGTTTCCTTCTTTCTAGATTTCTTCTGAGGTGTACCTACTCAGTCATTTACATGGAAAGAAACACAAACAAACAATACAAGACAGTTTGCAAGGCAAGACAATGTCAGAGGAAGAAATGGTGAGTGACCATGACAAGTTTGGATTATAATTCCTGTTATATCCATTAATCATTGTAATATCTTTTTATGGACAGACAATGAATGGTTATTGTTAGTGTACTGAAAGTCTGTCCTCATCTGCGTCATTGTTGTTAACAATTCCTGTGGCCTCAATAACTCAAAATGTTTGTAATCACTTGTTTTCAAACATATTATTCATCAGTATAAAATTTGTGTATTTGCCAATTTTAAACCAACCGCTTAGTACCTTTTGTATTTTCTGATTATGGATGAAATTAAATGTTATTGATTTTTATTTTAAGGAAAACCATTCTTGGAAACAAATCATCAATGCACCAGAAGCCAGAAGTGATCCACAAATGGTGGCTGAAAAGGAGAGACAAAAAACATTTCGCAAGAGAGCCCGAAAGATTCGACAGAGAATGTCTTCCAAGGGCAAGGATTATGATAACAACCTCCATCAGTGCAAGCCACTAGGAAGCGATTCAGAAAACAGAGCTAAGTAAGTTTTACTACCATTGTATCCATTAGGCATGATAGAACACAAGCACCTGTGGACTCTCCCAAAGCCATATCCAATAGTGAATTAGCGTTTTTTTTCTCTTCGTCTGGACGAATTCGTCGGTTTCTGCAAGAAAATCTTGCTCTGGTAGCTCCCGTACATGATACTCGACCATGTTTATGTTGCAGACAATGAAATCAAGGTCGCATGCAAAAATTGTAGGTTGTACAATTATTTTTTATTTAACCACTACTAAAATAAAATATGTATATAATATCTTCATGCTATCAATATTACCCCAAAATTTCCCTAATATTTAAATGTCCTTCCCTTTATTTGTTTACGCATTGAACTTGTACTTGTATTCATATTCTGGGGCCTTATTTGGAACACCATAACTGTGTATTATGCTCTATTTAACCATGGCTTGCATAAATTAAAACAGTCTCCCAACCAATCACAATGATGCATTGATGGCAGTGATACACTGGTATAGTATAATAAAGTTTTAATTGACATTCACACCTTCACATCACTGTACATAGTTCAGTGCTTGGTAGTGAACTAGCACTGTGCTACACATGATCTGGTTTCTTATTTCATGCTAAACATAGTCCATAGAAAACTGGACAGTTTATGGTGTGACTGCAAATTATAATAAAGTTTTTATTGACATATCATTCACACCTTCACATCACTGTACATAGTTCAGTGCATGGTAGTGGACTAGTATTAGACCATGTTGTATAAAAATATCAGGGGCCTTGTATAGCATGTACAACCAGAACATGCAATTTTAAATAGAACTGGCATTACCGATAATTAAAGTGGAAATTTCTCTTGATGAAGGCAGCCATACGTTTAAATGACCCAAGAGTTGTGAACTTGCATTACAGTGACTCAGTTAAGAAAATGACCCGGAACTCCAGACACAAACACAAACAGCGCCTCTCTAGGGGCGAGTTTTGTAATGTTTCTTTGCTAGATTCCTTATTTTCTCACTCTACCCCACACCAGTAAAATGTTTTAATGTACGTTGCAGTCTGTCTTCAATTAAATACACTCATCTGATACATTTGACTTTAATATTTGCTTCAGACTTCAGAAAGCTGTGAAAGATATCAATAAGTATTTACAGACTCAGGGAAGTGGTCCATGGCCAGTGAACAGAGTATCAGCACTGGACAGAGCTGTGGGTGAAATCAGCAGGATTCTAGATAAGAAGGTTAGTACAAACAATACATTGTGAATGTTAAATGAGGCCCATATTTAACCTCACACAGAGCATGTCGTTTTAATGTTACTTTATTTTGTATTTAGGTTCAGGCAGATCAGTTAGCTTTACAGTCCTGTGGTGGTCTCACTGCATTATCTAGAATCATGTTGGTAATTGGTGAGTCAACGGAAGTCAAACCGCTTGTTATTCCCACCAAGTAAGTTCCATTTAACTCCTACTACACACTGTTGGTTTATTTTAGCTATGTAGTGCAATACCAGTATAGCCATAAGTCAGGGATCTCGCCAGCCCAACAGAAATGCTGGTCGGTCATGAATATTAATGAGATATATGAATATTAATTTGGCAATGAATATTAATGAGCTCGGTCACAGTGCAAATATTTTTTTATTTGAGTAAAAACATTATGTTTCACAATTTAGAAGAGTTTGAATTTAAAAATGAAATATATTCGAAATGCAAATGCTGCAGACTAAAAACAGCAACACATAAATTATTGTTGCAATAATGTCTATTATAAAAGGTTAAATGAATCGCATTTGAAACGTTTCAGCCAGGAATATGTTCACGAATTCCATGATCTTATTTACTCCAAAAACATTCTCCTTCAAAAAATCGTAATTATTTGGCGTATTGTTGTAATTTATTATTCGTACCATCAACTTCTAGGATGTTTACATTCACAGTAATGAACGCACAAATAAAACTATCAAACGATCATCAAAGTTACGACATGACATAACTCACTTCGCGATTTTTATACACTGATTATACCAATAATTCCTCTTACTCAGTCATGATGCCATCGAAAAAATGTTACTTCTTTTTTTTTGATATGAAATAAAAGTAAAATTTTATTGGGACCGGTTATTTTTTATCACTCGATCGCTTCGTTAAAAAAACACAGACCCGCCATGTTGTTTGTGACGCATTAGTTGACTGGCATGTGTCCTTTGACCTGAGTGCCGCATGGTAATGCCGGTATAACCTGAAGTTTTCCGAATGGTAGTGATCATAAAAATTACATTGCAGAAGTAAAGCGATGTTGTAGCACAATGTGTTGGCATCGATTTAATGGTTTTCGAAAGAGGTGATTAGCAATTTTTAAAATGTAAAATAGGTCCTGAAAGAAGAGTTTTTACATAATTCGCGATGATAACAGTTCAAATGTATTTTACCCAATCACGCAATAAACAAGTTGTTTTTAGTGTAAACTGATCGTGAACTCCATGTTATATCGAGGTGGAACTGATTTTGAAAGAATTCCAACTTTCAATCTAAAGACTGTCTGTTGTCAGTAAGTATTTACTTACAAACAAAGAGGTGCTAATTTCACAAAATTGACTAGTTGCTACCACGTTGTGCGACTAGGTCTATTGTTTACAAATTATAATCCACGAATTTCAGTCAGTCTAAGGCATTTTTAGATTGGTTGGCCTCAAAGTTTGGCATCTCCTGTATTGGACAAAACAGAGCTTCATGTAATTTCCCTTTTGCTGCAGATCCCAATCAAAATGTTTGCAAAATATGCAGATAACATGCATTTATTCTCATTGACTGACAGGTCAGAGGTCAAAGTTTACTGGTTGTGTTTTAATTGAAACCAAACTATTACTAACGTGAATGTCTTTTATCGTTTTATTTAGGTCCCTATGCAATGCTGCTAATGTTCTTAAATTAGCTTGTAGAAATTGTTTCGAGAACTGTCAATACATGTTATATGGTAATAAAATGGGACCAATGGTTGACATGTTAATGCATAGATTGAATGTAAGTGATTTTGTATTATCTAGGTTAGATACATGTATACTATATTATATATAGTTATATATGGATAGTGTATACAGGAAGCATTAGCTTATCTCAGTAGAGCTTATCATATGAATGATTGTTCGTCTGCGTTAGTCGGTGCCCATGTCAACTTTTTACTTTTTCCACTTCTTCTTGAAAACTACAAGCCTGAATGCTTTGATACTTGGTGTATATGTACCTTGGGTAGACCTCTCTCAGATTTGTTCATCTCGTGATGATATTTTGGTGAATATTTTTGGTAAAAATTTTTGTTTGCGCTTCGATGTAACAGTAACAGGAGGCATGTAATCAAAATGTTACAGCCTGAATATTAGCGTTTAGATTCAGGTACATAGTTGCTCTCAAAATAACAGACAAATGATTTAAACTCTCTCGTCAGTTTTTATTAGGAGGCGAAAAGTCTGAGCAAACAACGAGCAGCAGTAGCAGCTCAACACATTCCGAGTCGGCAAAGCTGCCGATAGATCTTGTTGCAACGGGACTAATGCAGCTAATCTCCACCGTGTTGCATTGCCTTGCTAAAAACATCACACTCAGTAGTAAGACTACAAGTCCTAAAAGTACCAGCAAATCCGTTGGTGCTACGAGATGTGCTAGCAAGTTAGACGTCTTACAACAGTGGGGAACAGATATTGTCAGGTAAGACAGCTTCTGATGTGGTATTTTGCTACTTGGTGGTTTTACATCAATATACTAACGAGTACTTACTATTGATGTGTAATGATATGTGTAGCATGTATGCAAATAAGAAAACTACCATATTTTTAGCTCCGCTGTCGACTTTGTCGAGCGGAGCTTATCATATGAGTGATTGTCCGTCGTCGTCCGTGTCAATGTTTTACTTTTTCGACTTCTTCTTGAAAACTACAAGCCTGAATGCTTTGATACTTGGTGTATATGTACCTTGGGTAGACCTCTCTTAGGTTTGTTCATTTCATGTTGATATCTTCAATTCTCTATTTTTGGTGAATATTTTTGTAATTTTTGGTAAAAAGTGATATTTTCGACTTCTTGTTAAAAACCAATAGTTCAATTGCTTTGATATTACATATAAATATACTACATGTAGACCTTTCTTAGATTTGTTCATTTTGTGATGATATCTTCAGTTCTCTAATTTTGGTGAATATTTTTGTCATTTTTGGTAAAAAGTGATATTTTAGACTTCTTGTTGAAAACTGTAAGTCCGATTGCTTTGATATTACATATATAGGTACTACATGTGGACCTCTCTCAGATTTGTTCGTTTTGTGATGATATCTTCAATTCTCTAATTAATTTATTTTGGTGAATATTTTTGTAATTTTTGGTAAAAAGTGATATTTTCGACTTCTTGTTAAAAACTGTAAGTCCGATTGCTTTGATACTATTCATATTGTTCATTTTCTAATGATGTCTTCAGTTCTTTAATTGAAATGTGCATTGCTAACAGCGGAGCTATCTCAGCCGATAGGCTGCTTGTCTTTACTAGAAGTGCGTATCGAATAAATTCCTTCAAGTTGTGCCTGCTAGCAGTGATGCACTTCTGTCACATAAATGGATGTTCACAAAGTTAATTCTGTATTGATCTGTTGCTGCCAATTACTAAAATATGTTTGTTAGACAGGGATTTACTATATTGTAAATCATTAATGATGAACATTACAAACTTGTACCCTGGCGGTATCATTTTGACGTAACACAAGTGTTTTGTGTAGGAAAGTGTTATAGACGCACATATATTACCATAGTCAAATATCTTATTCTGTATCAGAACCTTGTTTAGTGTTAACTATTACATCACTTGGACAGTTAGCTACTAAATATTTTCACCTTGAACTTTTATATGATTTTTTCTATTTATACGTTTAGTTATTTGGTGTCTGTGGGCGTATTGGATCAGCTAACTTTATACTTTAATAGCGTACATGGTCCCGTTGATGAGGATCCCAAGTCAGCAGATTTTATACAGCATTGTTTGGGATTACTGGTTGCTATGACTCGGTTTATCATGACAAAGTACGTACCAAGAATTGTGTTTCTTTTACTTTGGTTCTTTAATGATGATTGAATAATTATGAAATGTGTTAATAAGTATTTATCCAACATTGTTTGTTTGTTTACACGAAAATAAAACGTGTGTAGTGTGATGTGTATTTTGAGATGATCTGTGCAGTGTGGAGAAAACATCACATTAAATAGCGCCACCCTGTGCTAGCAACTGAAGTGCTTTTGTTTTTATACATGCATATTATGTGTTACATAGTGATGTCTTGGGTGGTGTAATGTTCATTGTTTTCCCAAAAAATCACTATCTTTTGATATTAATAAGCAGAACCATCAAAGATGGTGTTTATTTTCAAAGTATGTTCGTGAACTAGATTTAGATCTTGTCTATTATTAGATCCTGCAATGTGTTTGATGAGAGCAAAAGAGATGATCCAACACAACTACTAATCACGTTGAAATTTACCGAGTTTGCTGGTATTGTGTCCATGCTGTATGGGATATTACTGCATGGTGGCGCACCAGCTAGGAAAAGTAACTTCATACCACCCGAGTTGCCAGAGCATACCTTAAATGTTGTCAGCACAGGACTTAAAATGCTAAATACTTTTGCGGTTATAGATCTTAAAATGCTACAAGTAAGTACAGTTAGTGGATTGCAAAAGTCAATTTTTTCACTTTCCACAGAATAAACCAATGTCATTTTTTTAAACAAATTCACAAAAGTTTTGTCCGTGCATGCATATCTTAGACATGCCTGGACCAATTACATTAAAACTTCACACATACTTCATACATAATATTATATGTATGCACATCAATTTGTTTCACAATCTGATTCAAGATGGCTGAATGGCAGCCATTTTTGTACTGAAATCAAGCATTTCTGACATTGCGGAACCAGATCTTGGCTGTTTACAAGTGAATTTTGTTCAGACTTGTTATATATTAGACATGGAAGTATGTCATTTTGTTTTTCAGATAGGTGGCAACAGGTGGTCATTTTGTTTAAATGAATGCAGTTCTAGTGTCATATATCTGACTTACTTTGACGGATTATGTTCAAATTTTAAATATTCATTATACCGGTACATCATGTAATAGATATATACGGATATATTGGTTTGGCCATCCGATTCAAAATTGCAGAATGATGGCCATTTTTCTGCTAATAAATCATCGAAAATCAAGCATTCCGGAACCAGATCTTTGTTGTTTATGGATGGATGTCGTTCAAACTTTGTACATATATTAGACATTATTGGTTCTTGATACTCGCCATTTTGTTTTTCACATCAGATTCAAAATGGCTGATTGGAGGCCATTTTGTTTTAATGAATGCAGTTCTATATCATAAACCATCTCTTTGACATTCTTTGAGTTTGACTGATTATGTTCAAATTTTATATATTAATTATACATCATGTCATAGAAATACAGGTGTATTCAATTTTGCTTCAATCATTACGGTTCCAGAGCAATATCTCTCAATATGGACAAGTACTCGTTTGACAATCAGATACAAGATGACTGAATGTCAGTCATTTCACTGTGGCTTGTTTTTTTAGTCCCTGTTCGAACGCAGTCCGAAAACGGGGACTTATGTTTTGACCTCTGTGTGTCCGTGCGTGCGTCCGGACCTGTATCTTAGAAATGCCTGAACCAATCACAATCGAACTTCACACATACATCATACATGATATTATATATATGCACATCAATTTGTTTCACGATCTGATTCAAGATGGCCGAATGGTGGCCATTTTTGTGCTAAAACTCATCAAAATCAAGCATTTCTCGGCTGTTTACAGATGGATTTTGTTCAAACTTGGTATATACATTAGACATTATAGGACCTTGATGCACATTATTTTGTTTTACGATCTGATTCAAGATAGCCGAATGGTGGCCATTTTTGTGCTAAAAAATCCTAAAAATCAACCATTTCTGGCTGTTTACAGATGGATTTTGTTCAAATTTGGTATATACATTAGACATTATGGGACCTTGATGCAAATAATTTTGTTTTTCAGCTAAGATTCAAAATGGCCGACTGGCGGCCATTTTGTAGTAATGAATGTGGTTCTCGTGCCATATCTCTGACTTGCTTTCACTGATTATGTTCAAATTTTAAATATTCATTATACATCATGTCATAGATAGACAGATATATTGGTTTGACGATCCTATTCAAAATGGCCAAATGGTGGCCATTTTTGTGCTAAACAATAATCAAATATCAAGCATTTATGGATGGATTTCGTTCAAACTTGGTACATACATGTATATTAGACATTACAGGTTCCTGATGCACATCATTTATTTTTCAGATCGGATTCAAAATGGCTGTCTGACGCCATTTTGTTTTAATGATTGGGCTTCTAGAGCCATATCTCTTAAATGCTTTGACTTATTATATTTAAATTTTATATATTCGTTATACATCATGTTATATATATACATGTATTCAAAATGGCTGATTTTGAATGCTGTTCCAGAGCAATATCTTTCAATATGGACAAGTACTTGTTTGGCGATCAGATACAAATGTCAATCATTTTAATGTTAAAAAATCATATTCCTGACATGGTTATATTCCAGCTTTATTACTATAAACAAAACTATATATCTTAAATTTGATAACTAACGGGGACTGTGCCATGCATGGCTTGTTTTTAATTATTTCCATAATTGTGATTATTTCCAAAAACAAATGAGATTTCTAAGAATCTAAAGACTCAAGTGGGTGGGGGTGGGGGGGGGGTATAGATATGTTTCAATTTTACTAATTGCATATGTGTTGAATTTTATACTATTCACTGGATTTAATTTCAGGTTTCAGCAGATTTGAATTTTGCATTATTCACTTGGTATCAAATTCACTGATTATATTTTTTTGCCATTGGGTTTCAATTTGGTGCCTTTAGTTTTATACCGTACTTCCCAAATCATAAGCCGAGGGACCTCAACATGTAAAATCCTAGGATAACCTCAGAAAAGATAATTTTTTTTTTAATTTGTAACCATCTTACCACCCACGGAAAATTGTCCAAATTACATCTTTCGTTCACCATGCCGGGCTCCAGAAATATTACATCATTTTGAAAAGAAAAAAAAATGTCGTCATTGATTTTCCACAACACTTTTACAATGAAGAAACAAACATGTTCATGAAAATACACGCATTTTACAATACAACTTACATACTGTCTGTATTTACGATGTAAAAATGGGTAGGGTCTGTGGGAAAACAGTCAAAGACAAGATCTTTATCATTATTTTCATTTTTGGATTTTTTTTCCCTATTTTCAAAAAATAACCTGTGGAGGAAGTATTTAACACCTTTCACGGTCGCCTACAGATCGAAAAATAGTTCACACCACATTCACAGCAGTCTCAATGGACAATATTCGGAAAAGTTAAATGATGTCCAATGACCAGGTTTCACGATTGACTGCCACATTTTTGGCGTTTCGAAAGCTACCACTCTAAGAAATATGCAACATCGGGGTTCATCCTGAGTAAATAACTAAATAGAAAGAGTGCAAACCATGTTGTGTACATTTGGCATGATTAATGCAAGTTTTCTCATAAAAAAACGAACCTAACTGCTGTACCAATCACGACTTTTTATGCAATGAAACACAGTTTTTACATGCATATTTAATAAATATCATCAACGACCGGTAAAAACACCCTGGGCCTATAAACACATAGAGGGGTGGGCTTATACTTAGGGAGGGGCTTATGATCTGGATAGTATGGTACAAAAAAAACTCAGCTACTGACACCCTTCCCTATAATGAATCTTACACAAGTGCTTGTTATTGTTGAATGACTTCTTTGCTGAGACGTCATATGATCATGCATATTTAATAAATATCATCAACGACCGGTAAAAACACCCTGGGCCTATAAACACATAGAGGGGTGGGCTTATACTTAGGGAGGGGCTTATGATCTGGATAGTATGGTACAAAAAAAACTCAGCTACTGACACCCTTCCCTATAATGAATCTTACACAAGTGCTTGTTATTGTTGAAAGACTTCTTTGCTGAGACGTCATATGATCATTAGAAATACAAGTCACTTCAGTGTTATAGTATGTATGGCCATATACTTAAAATTAATCATGAGTCTGGTGTGCATCTCAGACCAATCTTAGTGAGAAATTCTTGTGATCAGAAAAATCCCATTTGTAATTTGTTTACTTGAACCCCAAAATACTGTCACAAATGAATCTACGGACTGCTTGGTAATGTTCTTCTTTTTGCAAGGAACTTCTGTCCTGCAAATACCATAGCTGTTGTATTTATTATACAACGCTTACTGTGTTTGCGTTATTGAAAGTGTGCATTTCTAGTAGAAGTACATATTACAAGTATGACTTGTTTCAATGCTTGCACAATTCACCCAGTCCAGAAATCAGGTACACTATCCACTCAACCATATGACCCCCCCCCCCCCAAAAAAAATCTTATCTTTATCCAATAATTACCTGACTATGATCATCTGTCTTTTATGTAAGCGCATGCACCACTAATTGGAAAATTAGGGTATTCACATGTTTAAGACAAATACACTGTAATACAATACAGATTTAAACCACATGAATGCATATGTGATCACTTGATATTGTGATATTATTATCTACGAGTGAATGGGTGGATGGCATGGCCCATAAAAACAGAAGTATCCACCAGTTGTACAAATAAGTGATATCGGGTGATAACCTTTTTTTCACATGACCAACTTTAAGTGTCAATTTTTACAGAACTATGCTGTGAGAACTGATGGTCAACAGAAGTATTACCCTGTTTTAATAATTTTCCAAAATAATTCAGTCATTATCACTGAGTTATCATTGTAGCATTGTAGCAAGTAATTGTTATCCAGTCTGAAATTCTTGTAACGTAGTGATAAAAATGGTACCATCGCACGATTTGATTTCTCTGCGTACTGTCCGAACAAATACAGACACGTTTAGTGTGTATATCAGCATGTTTTGTGTAAAATGTTAGTGATATTTCACACTGAACATCACTACAGTGAATAACATGCATCATGGGTATGTGATGAAATAGAATGTTATTCTACCTTGGGTAGTTAGTGCAACAGTCATATCAAGTCAAATAAAAACAAAAGCTTTTACATTTTTCGTCATGGAGGGCTCACTACTGTCACTCCACTTTACAGCTCAACTAAAATGTAATTTCTTGGTTCCACCACTGAGGGCAGTGTTGCAGACACCTGTAAATATGTCATGGCAGTTCGTCTTTCCATTAACCGTATTGCTGATTCTCTAATGCACTTTCTACTAAGTAATGCTTTTAAGTTCAGCTTATCTGTATCCATAAATAATTTTCCAGAGCACTGCTTTTTTACACTTTTCACACAGCCTTTCAGTCAGATTACTGGTTTGGCACAAAGGAGCAGACACTACAAATGCCATCCGTCCACCTCCATTTTGTCCCCACATTCCCCGAGTTTCAAAAGCCAAACAAATCTGTTTTAAAAGCCAGTGTTAGGTAATGACACTTTCAAAGAAAACTTGACAGTTATCAAATTATTGATCTTGCGTCGAGAAAGCCACAAGACCTTTATATTATTTACTCTTTGTTCCCAGGGTGTACTCGGCCAAGAAGGAATATCGCTTGAGTTTCGTCACATTGCGACCTATCTTCTGTGGTATTGCTCTAACTGGCGTAAAAATGAAGATCTGGTGCATGAAGTCATCCTTCTTGTTGGATATTTCACGGTTCTCAACCCCGATAATCAGGTAAAAATAAAAATCTACTTGATTCTCATATTCCATATCCTTTTATTTGCTGCTACCTGCATTCCTTTTCCTGTAGCCTAAAATATGCAGTGTATTTTGAATTGTAATTTAATATTTATGTTTTTTTTGTCTCCAATTCACACGTACCTAGATCTTATATTACAATATTGCATGCTGCAAAAATAAAATTTGGCCAACGCTAAAATTCATTGCTTTTAATATCATTAAAATGTTATCTTAACAAATTTTTCGAACAGGTTGTTTCAGCCTTTTTTTTAAATTTTATCATCAATTTTTTTTTTTCAAAATCTAATCTTAGATTTATGGTCCTAATTAACAACATTTTCCTATCTCTACTAAGTCTATAATGTTGCTGTTATTTCTGTTAAGAAATTATCTCCCTGTTGCATTATTTATTCATAAAAACTCATAATATCTGTAATTTTGATAGGAATCTGAGAGGAAAGTAGGCTGCGGTAACGTTAGAATTTGGCATCTGTCATAATCCCCACCATTCACAAGTCTCACATCTGTTATTGCTAAATCCGCAACGATTCCTTCCTCCATATGTGGCCCAATTTCTAAAACTAGTTTACATTGAGATTATACATCCTTTGAACATTCACACGTAGTTTTTCGCACATTCCAGTTGACTCATAAATTTTCATATTTTGGAGCAGTCAGTGAACTGCCAGTTACACATTCACGTATGCGACAATTTATTTGAATTTGATTGTGTGAAAAATGCATACTACAAAAATAGTAAAATGATTTTTTTTTTCACCAATTTCAAAATTAAGATCTTATTTTCGTTTCACAGCTCATCAATTATCTCTGACATGGACTTGAAGAGTTCGTCCGTCAGTAAAAATCAAACAACCACCTGACAGCTTTCGTCCTTTTAACTTATTAATTTTTCAAAATCTCCAGCACTCCAAATATTGAAATATTAATTTCTTGTTTACTCGAATTGTACTGTGTACACTACGTATACAATACACTCGCCTATTCATTGATTCGTTTGCAATGATTTTAGACTCCCTGTCATCGCTTGTTTTGTTGGTTTTTTGAATTTTTCAAGTGTTATTGATGCGCCATGAATCCTTCCTCCAGATATACCTATGAAATTGACATGTCCTTTTAATTAATATTGGCCGAAAGATGATGTATGTGTCAGGTTGGACGTTTAGCTTATTGTCGCAAGCTCAGTTTGATGTCCTGATTGCTATAAATATTATTTCTTCATGTTTGTTGTTTTATTACATTTATGACGTGGCTTGTCACTTTGACGAACTGTCCATATTGCTGCAGGTTCGTCATTGTGTTTCTTCGCACACACGCTGTTTTTTATGACATTGTCAGTGAACGTGTTTGATGTGCGGTGCGCTAGCGTAATAACAGCAAGTGAATATATCACCTGAAATGTAGCTGAGCCCCTTCACGCAGTCAGAATGTACTCTTCTCCACTCTGTTACATTTAGGGACTCTGTAGTTCTCAAATTTCGCCATAACAGATAAAGTTGACACCTACAATCTTCTCTATAGAGTGTGGTTAAACCTTTGAACATCAATTTTTGTCATCTTACCTGAATAATCATAATTTTTTCTTTATTTTTTTATCACAAAGACCTGAATTATGTCCAATTTGTCCACAATTAACAATTATAAAATAAATATATATGAAAATGTGCAAAATGTAGCAGTAACTTTTTGGCAGGAAAAATAATGACTTGCAAAGAGTTGCACAGTCTTGACACGCTAGAAATAAGATTTCAATTGTTTCCCTTTCGATCTGCCAGCCAGGTGAATTAGCCAAGTGTCACTAGTAACGATCATCTAGATCAAACTCGGCTCTAGTCTGCTCGCTTTTCTTGCATTAATGTGATTATACTCAACTACTGTGGATCTGATTTTTGTACCAGATAGTGAAGGTGATACGCTTTGATTTCTCAAATCCCCCTGATATGCTATGAACATTACCTTCTTAGTGCGATCAATGCCAAGCATTTTTTCCCGAATACATTGTCACTTCGTATAACAATTTTGTTTTTTGTATATCCATGTTTTTATAGCGGGCACATTTTTTTTATTTTAATGGGTATCCGTCACATGCCATTGGTGCGATGGTTTGGATGTTTGCTAATAATTATCTCAAAACATCACAGATTCTCAGCAAGCATAATATTTTCATCGTTTATTGTTCATTTAAACAACTGAAGTTCAATTTCACTTTACGAAGTTACAATCAAAAAGCAAATTGTCACTAGTTGTTTACCGGTATATTTAGTTTGGCAAGAGGGAACTCTATTAGTTGAGGTTTTGTGACTACTTTAAACGCCCATAGTTTTTTTTTCCAGTGCTCATCAGTATTAGATGTTTTAGAGCCTAAAGGAGTTAGATGTTTGGTAATTGTTTACTCATAAAATAGTAATACATACTTCTCATTATTTATTCAAAATTGTCTTCATAGATTTCAACCAAATTTCTGAATGAAATATAAAAACTATAAAAAAAATATAAAAAAGTTTGGATAATATTTCTGTGCGTGAGATTTTATCTTGAAGAAATGTTATGTTAAAGAAGGCTAGCGAAGCGTTACAGTTATGCCAGCTCTCTGATTTTCCTTTTAGTTTGACAGATCGAACTAGATTATAGATAACCTTAAAAAAAAATTCATGGTTACTCAAATGTGTTTCATTCAAGATAACCATAGTGGTATGTGTGTGTGTGCTTTCCTTCATTTTTTCTATATAGGCTTCTATTTTAAGTTTCCCATTTAGACATTCACATTTCTGTGCCTGGTTTAACGAATTGCCTGCTGAAATCCTCCACAGATAACCGATATGAATAGTATATAACGGCATCAGCGGGCAATGTGTCAATTTCACTTTGTGTTGTGTTGCTACATGTATGTATTTTTAATCCCCGTTTGGATGAAGTCCGAAAACGGGGACTTATGTTTTGACCTCTGTGTGTCCGTGCGTGTGTGCATGCGTGCGTCTGTGCGTGCGTCCGGACCTGTATCTTAGAAATGACTGGACCAATCACAATCAAACTTCACACATACATCATACATGATATCATACATATGCACGTCAATTTGTTTCACGATCTGATTCAAGATGTTCGAATGGCGGCCATTTTTGTACTAAAAATCATCAAAATCAAGCATTTCCCGGCTGTTTACAGATGGATTTTGTTCAAACCTTGTATATACATTGGACATTATAGGACCTTGATGAACATCATTTTGTTTTACGATCTGATTCAAGATGGCCGAATGGCGGCCATTTTTATGCTAAAAAATCATAAAAATCAAGCATTTCTCGGCTGTTTACAGATGGATTTTGTTCAAACTTGATATATACATTAGACATTATGCGACCTTGATGCAAATAATTTTGTTTTTTAGATAACATTCAAAA